AAACACTCAATGCAAGTTGGATACATCAAGCAAAAGAGAACAGAACTGCTTGAACATATGATTCAAAAACCTTGACAGCCTGCTCAGTGGGTCTCAGCGCTTGCAGCTTAAGCAGCATTCCTGACCAAACCCCGAGAACACAAAAGACTTGCCCCTTGCCCTTGCTCAAAGGTCAGAAGAGTCACTGCAATTGGATTAGAAGAGTGGGAAATGAAGCTGTTTATTTAAGATGAGACAAGGAAATATCACTACACAAGAAGGAACAAAGTTCTTGAGAGCCACCCAAAACAGAAAACCCATGGTCTAAACATGCATCCTAACTTGCCTTTCTCTACTACAGTCTCTTGTCTACCAGTGATGGGGGCCTTAGCCCGGTGCCACTGTGTCTGACTGCTGCTCATACTGAGCCCAGGAAAAGTGCTAGGTCAGGGTTCCCGAGGCCTGGAAACAAGTGTTTCCCTTAAATTGTCTGTCTGCTGCCACATCAAAGAATGGTAACTGCATCCAGCCTGAGCTGTCATCCTCTTCTCTTAACTTCTATATAAATAAAAATGCTTTCATTGTTCCTTTTTTGTTGCCAGTATCCAGTAGGATGAGAAGAAAAGGCAGGCATTTTATTTGAGACCACTCTGAAAAATTAACTTCATAGGAAAATAAAAGCATACAATGGTTTCTAATCAGTTTTTCTGATTTTTGCCTACTCCCACTGAATAGAACTAATAATACTTGTCTGTTAGTATTCTGATGCACTCATTCAAAATGAAGCAGTCTCCCAAGATGGAAAATTACCAGGCATATCATGGTATGCCGGCTCTACTTCCCATCTTTTAATATTATTTCTTTAAAATGTCACAAGCCTTCAATACTACTGATAAAGTTATTAAAAGTCTGACTTATTTTAACATACAATATCCTAATATGTTTTTACATAAAAATAATTGAACTGAGAGGCAGGGATTTCTCAGGCCATAGCTCCAAACCAAGAACTCCCACAGAGACAAAAATGCAGGAGAAGTATAATGCACCTCCCTTGTCACCCTGTTTTCTGGCAGATGAACCCTGGCTATCTCTCTGAGAAAGACTGCCATGGCCTTTTCGAGGAAATCGCCCAACAGACCACTGGCATACCCACCATATCTTGCTATCCGAAAATGCATGAATTTGGCTTTTACCCAAACATGAGTGAAAAACAGTATTTTCAAAGAAGAAGTTGTTTGTTGAATTAGTTGTTTCCAAAACACCCGAACTTTCAAGGACCAAGAAACAAAATGAAAAATGGATATTTGGAGGCAAATCATTCAGTGTATATTACACATTGTTTATCAGCATCCACATTCCTGACTTAGTTCTGATTCTGATAAGTGAGATTGTATGAGGGGCATTTTTTGGGTTCTTGCTGCTTGGCTTGTTTGTTTATTGTGTTGGCCACAGTCTTCCTTTCTGTGCTAGAGTCTAAGGTGCTCTGGGGCCACCGGACCACACCAAGAAATGGGTAGGGAAGGGTAGCAGTACTATTGTACAAGGGATCCAACCCAGGGCCTCAAACATGCAAGACATATGTTCTACTCAAGGAAAGAAGGAAGGAGAGAGGGAGGAGAGGGGGAGGGGAAAGTGGAAGAAAGAAATAGAAAGAGGGAGAGAGGGAGGGGGAAGTGAGGGGAGGAGGGAGAATGAGAGGAAGGGAGAAGGGCTGAGTGCATGCAGGAGGCCAGAGCTCAACCCCAGATACCACACAGTATCTCAAGCATTGCCAGAAGTGCCCCTGAGCTGGGAAAAATCCCTGAGTACCACAAGATAGATCCCCAAACAAAAATAAAACAAAAATTAATTCTACGAATGTTGTTTCTAAAGTTTGGTCTGATGGGAAACCCAAGAAACTATGCAGCATCGTGTCTAAAGCTGTTATCAGAAGTTGATAAAAGAGACATCACGGAGAACACTTCTGGGCCTCTGAAAAAGTCTATTAAAAACAGTGTCATGCTGATCACAGTTCTATATAGATCAATGTCCAGTATTCATACATTCGTTTATTCATTTATTCATTGAATCATGCAAAAAAATAGTCTTCACGCTAGGAAATAGGGAAATAATGAGAAATGAGACACAGGTAATGCCTTCAAATAATTCATAACTTAGGTGGCAAATAGAAAAATAAATACGCAACCAAATGATAATGGTTTGCATAATATGCCACAAAAATACATTAGAAAAGAATAAAACCCAAATTTGAATGACTAGAATCGGCTGATGATAGTTAATATTGAGTGCAAAGAATGGTCAGCCTGGAAATGGACTTACTGAAGTGTGTATGTGTGTGTGTGTGTGTGTGTGTGTGTGTGTGTGTGTGTGTTGGGGTGGGGGTTGAAAAATGGCTCTGGGAAACTGAGTTCAAGTACAGTTCAGTACAAATTTTGTAAGATAAGGGTGAAGAATGATAAATGCAGAAGACAGAAGTATCTGCAAGACCATGAGGGGCCTCGTAAACCCAATGAGAATTCTGTACTTTATCCCAAAGGCAATGTGGAGTTTTAAAAGGAGGCAGAAGACTCATCCCATGAACCTATGGGTTTGTGAGGGGTAGTGGATGCTCAACTATCTAGGCGAACTAATTTCTAAAAAGGAGACTCCTTCCAAGAGGGGGAGTGGCAAGTGGAGGCATTGTTTAAGTAAATAAAATGAGAAATTAGAATCAGAAAGGTGGGAATAAGTAAGGATAGGACAGTGATCTAGAGATAAAGTGCTTTAGGAAGCAGATCTGAAAAACTGCTCAGAGATCAAAGCTACAGACGAGAAGCAATGAGGTCAGGCTCCCCAGGGATAGCCATAGCCCATTGCTCAGCAGCTACGGTGGAAAAGCAAGCGGAAAGCCTGGTGGAACTGGGAGCTCTGGGAGCAGAGGGGGTCAAAGTTGAGAACTCTTGGAATGTGTTGAAGGGCAGAAGAGAGAAAGTGAAGCAAGTGGCAGGAAGAAGTTTTAAGAAAAGAAGGGTGGTAGCCAGGTAGACATTAAACAGAAGAGAGGTTAAAAGTGGTTTGGCAATCTTTCTATGTCTGTCCCTCTCTTTCTGAGTCATTTCGCTTAGCATGATATTTTCCATGTAGTGATGGGAGAAGCATGCTGAAAGTAGACTACAGACCGAACATGATTGCCACTCAATGCCTCTTTTGCAAACCACAACCCCCAAAAGGAGAGAGAGCGAACAAAAGGGAATGCCCTGCCACAGAGGCAGGGTGGGATAGGAGGTATGGGGGGTGGGAGGGATACTGGGACCCGTGGTGGTAGGAAATGGGCACTGGTGGAGGGATGGGTATTTGATCACTGTATAATTGAAAACAAGCACAAAATTTGTAAGTCTACAACTGTACCTCATGATGTCTCTAATAAAAAATTTTTTTTAAAAATCTAGAAAATTTTTTAAAAAAGTGGTTTGGCAGTACTTGATTCCCAGCTGAGCAGGGGGAGCAGAGACACTCAGACCCTGTATTTGCCAGTCTGGCGTTAGCCTGCACACTCCAGTAGTTGTGGCTGGCAATCTGCAACCCCAGTACCAGTTACACTGGCACATGCCAGGCTAGTGGATGAGTGTCTAACCATAGGAATGAAACGCAATGCTGGTTGGGTAGGTGAGCACATTTTCAGAAGGACGCAAGTGCCTGTTTCAGAAATAACAGCTAAATCTAACAAGGAACAAAGACAACAAATAGTTTTGCTGCAGGAAAGCACACATAATGTTAATTCCACGTCAAAAGTGTAATCGAGTTTTTGTGTTATATATAAACCCACAGACAAACAACAGGGCCTCTTCCAAAATTGGAAAGTTCTGGCTTTATGGGTGCTGTGAGCTGATCCTTACTTTGTCTCAGTACCTCATCCAGAACACTAAATGCACTCACTTAAGACTGCAGATAATCTGAGCTTTCTAAACAAAGAGGCCAATCTCCTTGGCATTATACTGTAATGTCTTTTCAAAAGTGTATACAGATTTCCATCACCCATTTCCTGCTCAGGTCTAATTATCCCTATGAAAAACCCATCTCCAGGGCTGCACTCTGCTCACCAGAGTCAGCCAAACCAGAACCACAGGTAGAGAATTGCTGAAATCCTTCAATTCGTTTTTTTTTTTTTTCGCTGTTTTTGGGGGTCACACCCAGCGATGCTCAGGGGTTACTCCTGGCTCTGCACTTTGGAATTACTCCTGGCGGTGCTTGGGGAACCCTATGGATGCCAGGGATTGAACCTGGGCCGGCCACATGCAAGACAAATACCCTACCTGCTGTGCTATCGCTCCAGCCCAGAGATCCTTCAATTCTATAGTGTAAAGTAAGACTCCAAAGGCCTCTGAACATTATGATCCAATGTCTGGCATATAGTTGACATTCAACAAACACATAATGAATGAGTGTAAATTACTATAGTTAATAATAAGCTCAGATGCTCCCTAAGACTGTAGAAAGAGTGTTAAAAAAAAAAAGACTAACTGCTCAATTAATCTACCCATATAAATCACATTAACAATCTTTCCTTCAGAAGAGAGAAAGCAGATGCTGCCTTTAAAAAAATGACTTTTACCTGTTATTTAAAACCGATAAGCCCCATACAAATATCACTTAATTAGTTGTCTAAACTACTTCCCAACTCTGATTTATAAGCACTTATAATTGAAGTCTAATGACTTGCTTTCTGAAGTGAAAATCTATATCCATTTTTTGTGCCCATTTAAACAACCAAAACTAATTGGCTGCTGCCTTAGAGGCAATCATTCCTATCAGGATATTTCTACCAAGTCCCCTGACAAGCGTTTTTATACTGTGTCTTCAAGAGGGAGAATATTTTTTACTCGGAGTTCTTTCACATTTAGCAAATTTACCACTCCAAGAACTACCACTGGCAAAGCACTTTCTCATCAGTACCTATCCCAATGCCACCAACCCAACACTGTATCATGGAGAGTGAAGCTTAATACTCTTGAGTATTTGCAGAAAACCAGGGTTATAGTTACCCTCCTCCTCCAGTGACGTAGCTGTACCCGCCGGTGCCCAGGCCATAGCCGTAGCGCTCTCCCAGAAACAGTGGCTCACTGGCATCGTAACAGCTGAGCAAGTGTTGGAGCCTGGAGATGCTATCAGAAGAAACAAAAGCCAGTTACTTTAATCCAAGTGTGTGTGCAGAGGTTACTTTACAGTATGGATGACCCAGTGCTATCGGGTACACTGAACTCATTTAGAGATGATGTCGAGGTGATTTACAGAACTGGATTTGTTTTTTACAGAAAAGAAGACCCTGCTACTATAGGAAACGGGAGAGAAATTGAGAAACAAGACTTACTCCCCAGTTTTAGAAAGCCCCTGCCAGGCTTGGCACCAGGTTTAGGTGGGAAGGGCTAGTAGGTTAATGAGGTAAAGGTAAACGAGGTTGACTGGAAACTCACTTCTACCAGTCTGCTTCCCAGAGGGGAGGACATTTCTCTTGCATGTGGCTGACCTGGGTTTGATCACTGGCACCACATTTGGACCCCCAACCCCCAACAGGAATGACTTCTGTGTGCAGAGTCAGGAGTAAACCCTGAGCAACACTGGGTATGCTCCCCCCAACCCCGTCAAAACAAAGGTAAAGGTAAAGGTAAAGGTAAAGGCCCTCCCGTTGATCGTCGATTTGCTCAAGCGGGCCCAGTAACGTCTCCATTGGAGACTTTGTTGTTACTGTGTCTGGCATATCGAATACTCTCGGTAGCTTGCCGGGCTCTCCGAGAGGGGCGGAGGAATGGAACTTGGGTTGGCCATGTTGGCTGCGTGCAAGGCGAACGCCCTACCCGCTGTGCTATCGCTCCAGCCCAAAACAAAAACATTTTTAATGGGGCTTTTGAAGCAAAAATGAGGCCTACATAACAGCTTGCAGGTGCTGGGTACAGAGGAGAGTTGGGGCAGCAAGGACCCCAGGAAGCCTGCCCAGTGAGGATGCACAAATACACAGACAATGGCCACGTGTCCTCCTCTGGCAATACTCAACTGGATCACCCATTCCAGGTCCTGTCTCACTTCTCTAGCCATCAACTGCTACATCTTCTGTTTTAAAGATTTATTGGGAAGATACTTTAACATCAGCAAACACACTAGTTCTCACCGAAATTTTCCTTGAGGGAAGGAAAGGGCAGAGAGGAATAATAAGGTGGTGGAATGTCTATGATACTTTGGCAAAGGTAAATTGTACACCAAATCCATTAATACTAACACCTGGATTGTGTTACCCAACAACAACAAAATATATTTTTAATTTCCCCTAAAAGTCAGGAGACAGGACAAGGGGGAGACCGTATGCCGAGTATATTTAAAGGGGAAAACCATATGCCTAGTATGATCCCCTGGGGACTTACTGGTTTGTAATAAGCAAACACTCCTGGGGCTGGGGAGATAGTTCAAAGGGCTAGAGGATATGCTTTGCATATGAGCAGCCCAGGTTTCACCCCCACCCAACCCCACACATGCCCGGTGCACCCCGCCTACCCCATCCCACACATATCATATGACTAACCCAAGCATGGCTGGGGGCAACCCTGAAGCAAAACTCTAGGATTACACCCACCACCTCCTATTGTGGCCCCCAAACAGGAATAAACACACCAACTCTTAATTCCAGAGGTTCATAATTTGTGACTGCCCTTAATCATATTGATGCTGAATCTGTTTCAGACTTGGCCAATGAGAGCCCAATCTAGCTTGCTTAGAAACTCTCTTTACAGTCCGTTTTATGAAAATCACTTCATGCTTTCTGGAAGTAAAAAAGAATTATTTCATTTGAAAACTTATGCTGCCTCTTTCTTACTTATGTTTAACATTATTTATTTCCTGATGACTTTAAGATTCTTCTTCTAGAATTTTAAATAGGAAACAGATTTTTTTTTAAGTTTTACTGTATCTGGGATGAAGAGATAGTACAGTGGGCAGGATGCTAGCCTTGCATCAAACCAACCCAGGTTTGATCCCTAGTACCACAGATGGCACCCCCAAGACCCACGATTGTGATTCCTGAGTTCAGAGCCAGGAGTACGTCCTGAATACTGCTGGGTCTGGCCAAATATACAAATAAAGAAATCATTTTTTTTAAAGAGGCAGCAACTCTCATATCAAATAACTGCCACATGACTCCCACTGAATTTTTCAAATGAAACTTTATAGAGCCAATGAAATGTTATTATACAGCCAAAATCTTGAATCAAAAGAAACTCTAACCATGAATCACATATATTGCCAGATTATTACTTAGATTTTACTTAGACTTTAAAGAGTGAGAAAAACACTTTTAGAAAAAACAACAGCTAAAGGAATTCATGACTTCTAAACCAGCTTTGCAATAAATGCTAAATGGTATTCTTTTAAAAGAAAAGGAAACTCCATATTGAAGCAGTAACATACTTAAAAAAACAAAAAGGGGGAAAGAAGGAAAGTAATAAAGGGGACTGTAGAATGAATTCAGAATTTATTGAGAAAGTAAATTGAAATATTCTTCAGTTAACTACATAGTAACCAGAAAACAGAAACACTAAGAACTAATAAGAAGAGACAGAACAAAAGCTGAACACTGACCAAGAGGTAGGCATCAGTGTGCAGGTAGGGAAAAGAAAAGAAAGCCACAGAAACAAAGGCAAAACAAAAAACATTCAAAATCCTCAGGTACAAACAGCAAAAAATCCCTTGATGTCAATGACTTCACTGACTTCACTAATTTCACTAAATTCAATAGTTTGAATGCCCCCGTCAGAAAGCAGAGGTTGGACGGATGGGTCAAGAAAGAGTAAAGTTTCTGCTGCTACCAGAGACAAACTTGGGGGCTGGAGTCATAGGACAGGCATAGTATGGCTTAGCATAGGAAAGATGAGAGCTAAGGTTAGGATTGGGTAGAATTTAGGTGTTAAGAATAGTTATACTGAGGTCCAGACCCTGCACCAGGCTGTCTTCACCAGGGCAACTCAGAGCGGGGCAGGTTGAGTTTCCCTCCCCACCCCAGAAGAACCTCGGCAGCTGAAAACCTCCAGAACCTAATCGTTGCCATGCTCACAGCTGCTCTCCACAGCCTCCCCGGTGAGTGAATCTACAGAAAAACTCAGGTATGCGGGACCCATGACTGAATTCTCCAAGCTTGCTAGAGCGGTAATGGGTCTCCTCCCCATATCTCTCAAATTTACCAGTAGCTTGGCAGTCATGCTGCAAACTGCCCCTGGTGACACATAATCTCATCAGTGGCCAAGATCCAGAGACTCAGAAATAAAGAGCAACAAAGACCTCAACCATGAGTCAATCTGCTCTATAATCATATTCTAAATTTTAGAATTCCTGGAGCACGCAGCAGCATTCGTGGCTGCAAGATCTCTCACACTCTATACCACTGTTGTACCAAGAGCAGCACACATTTGTTTGGGTTTAACAAACATGTTTGTAATCTCTTGTATAAGGGCTTAATGGCTCCAGGATGAAATACAACAATCATCACCCACTTTCCTCTTATGGCGGTGGAAAGGTGCAAAGCTGGAGGGATTGAAGTTGGAATATTGAATGTAATGAATTATTGTGATCAACTTTATAAAAATAAAATTTTAAGAGTCAAGAAAAAAAGAATAGCTGCATTGAATGTTAAAAGGCAAGTGAAGGATTGGGCAACTGTTAAATTTTGACTAATTAATAGATCTATGCCTACTTGGGGGCAGGGTTCATATAAATATAGAATTAGCATTAGGGATTAGCCTAGGACTAGGGTTAGAATTAGGTTTGTAAAGTTTTTAGTGTTAACTACTGCTGTGATTATACCCAAAAAACGAATGTTAAAAAGGGGGAATTTTTAAATTTGGAAAATTGGTCATTTTTGGCATCAGTAAAGACAAGTTTATATGGATTAGACATAGAATTAGGAATAAGACTAGGTTAAGGGTTAGGGATGGTGTAGGGTTCACGTGTTAAGTGTTAACTATGTTCAAAGTTTAAAAGGGAAATGAAGGACTGGGCAATTTGTAAATTTGGGCTAACTGGTAGGTTTATTCCTATGATTGACTGGTCAGACTAAGTTTAGTGATAGGTTTATGTTGGTTTGGGCTAAATTTAATGATAAGATTAACTTTAGGAAGTAGGGGTAGGGTTGGGTTTTGAGGATTGGTGTTAGCTTTGTGATCATACTTGAAAATCTAAGTTAAATATATAGAGATCTTTAAATTTAGGAATATTGATAGTTTGGGGAATCATTAAAGGTCAGGTTTACATGGGTTAAGGTAAGTATTATGATTACAGCTTGGGTTAGGTATTATGTAGGATTTGGGAGTCAAGTGTTGAAACAAAAAAGCCAAGTGAAGAATAGGAAGATATAAAAATTTCAGCTACCGGGAGGTTTTTGTCATTCATATGGTTAGAGTTAGACAACAATAGAATTAGGGTCAGGATTAGCTTAAGCTAGGTATAGGGTTCAGTTTGGAGGGTTGAGGAATTTGAGGGTTAAGATTTTTTTTTCTGTGATCATACTTGAAAATGAAAGCATAGGGAAACCTTTTAATTTAGGAAATGGGTAATTTTGGGCATCCATCAGAAAGGTCAGGCTTCTATTGGTTAGAGTTAGGATTAGGACAGGGCTAGGAATAGAGTTATGATTGTGTTGCTCTTAGGTGTTAAATTTTGCTGTGCTAAATTTTCAAAAGATAAGTGTAATATTGGGTGGTTATTAAATTTGATCTAATGGGAAGGTTTATGCTTATATTTGGTCTGGCTTAGTTTAATGATAGAATTAGCATTAGGTTTAGTCTTGGGTCTAGGGTTACTGTTAGATTTAAAGGTAGTATATGTTGTATTCATACTCAAAAATGAAATTATAATTCATTTAATTTTAGGACAATCGGTAATTCTAGGCATCAATAGTAGGGATTGGGGTTAGAATTAGGATTACAGTTAGGGATAAAGCTAGCGATTGTATAGGTTTCAGGTGTAAAGTATTACTGTGTTCAACATGAAAAACAAAAATGCAAATGAAGTATTGGGCAATTGTTAAATTTGGGCTAACTGATAGGATTGGAAGATGAAGGATCTGAGTGGAGGATGCTCAGGCCCGATCCAAGCAGGCTTGGAGATCTCAGACCCGGGCCCCGCA